AGACTTGCTGCCTCAGACCTGTTCAGTTTTAACAATGGTTTGGGAAATGATGGCGACTGTACTGATATATTGTTAGATGATCTTGATGTATCTTTCTCCTGAGTTTATTCCAGGAGGCCTGGAGCTAAATCTACCATCTTCCATCCTCATCTTTACAACCACCTGCTCTAAAATATTTAATGCTAGGCCCATCAAAGCCCCAAGCAATGCTTGTCAATAAAACCTGCACCTCACCTGGCTCGTTCATAACATTTTGTTGTTTTTTGTTAAATCTACCCTCTGGCTGACCTCAAGCTTTGACCTGCTCAGGCCTAAGTATGTCTTTCCTCAGGTTGGGTTGCTCTCTTGCAGGCATCTGTTTTCTAGATAAGACCCGCGAGTGTGAGGACTGATTCATTGCTCTGTCACTGACATGGCGTTTGGGCCGTCAACGTTACCGCTCTCCTTGTGTCTATATCCCCCATGGCCCAGTCTTTATAGTGAGACAATCCAGATTTAGGGACAGATCAGGCAGCATGCTGAAGAAAAGCGTCTTTTCTGTTTGTTACATTAAGAGATCATCTTTCAAAGAAGGAAGCAGCAGGCCGTTTAAACATTCACTGTCTCCACCGACACTGTAACCTTGGCCGTCATGAGATATAAAAAGTTTCTTCATGAATTATGACAGGTTGGGACAGGAACTAAATCCTCCGCCCCACTGTCTCTAGTGACCATACAGTGAACTACTGCTCTCTTGTCAGTTGACTATTTCAGAGCAGCATGACTAAAATAGCCTCAACCTTGGCACCAAACCTCATCCAATGAAATCTTCTGTTGTCACTTTTTTATATCACTCATCCTTTCTTTAATTTTCCCTCCCTTTCAGATCCAGTAAAGAAGAGTAGGTATCTCCCATAGGAAGAGGATTTGTTTTTTTCTGTCTCACAATAAGTTGCAGGCCTCTCTCATCTGTTTCTGTCCTCTGTTCGTCCTCTCGTCCTCTGTGGTGGCTACTTGTCCAGCAGGGCCATGCAGTTTCACAGTCTAATTACATGTCAATTAAAGGATTTTTGGCTCGGCCGTCCTTCTGCCAGCGCTTCGGCCGTCGCAGGCTTAGGGGACTCTGCAGAGTGAGAGTGAATGAGATATCATTTCATGTGGAGATCAGCCGAGAAAGGCCTTGAAAAGAGGGGATTGGGGGGAAAGGCTCCCCTCTCTTTCTCTGAATGAGCGAGAGTCCCTCCGCCCTCGGCAACCCACATAGCGCCCAGCATCTTAAACAAGGGGCCTCTGGGATAGAGGCCAGAGGATTATGGGAATATTCATGACCAGATAAAGGGGTGAGCGGTTGAATGACTGTGTTTTGGGGCTCATCTTTTAGGTAAACAGGAGCCTAAATGGAGTTTTAGATCGCTACTCCCACTACTCAGTGAGGAACAGGTCCCAGTGACTCTGCCCACTGTTTTTTTTTTTTGTTGCATTTCCACTGGATTGTGAGAAGAAAGCCTTGTTGTGGCCTTTTATTCATCTTGCTGCTGTCTTTTGGTAGCAAACAGATGGTGTTGGGGGAAATAAATACCTGTTTCTTACAGTTCTTACCCACAGAATATTCTCATAGATGCCGGTCACATTCACCCACGGCCTCCTGGATCCTGAAAGCTTCTGAGGGCCTATTTTATAGTCAATAAGTATCCTGCTGTATGGGAATGGTGGATGGACCTGGCTGTACTCATTAATGCTGTGCCGTCTCACCCCATATTGGAACTTTAGTACGTACCGAAATTTGTCCATGTTGGTGCACTCCAGATAGCAGCGCTTGCTGCCAAGTGAAAGTTGTGACAGTTTTCACACTAAAGCTTTTCTGATTATACTGTGTTTTTTAATTATATGTCATGAGAACTGAATAAAGAAAGTAGTATGGCATGGCAGTGGGTTATTTGAGCTTTACCTTGAGTTGGCATCAGCAGCTAACTAAAGCAGAGGTCTAGTGCTTGGCCCAAAACTGACTTCTACCAATTTTGTCTTCATCTTTGAAGGACTGAACTGGAGGTAATTAGCTTGAGAGTCATGAAGAGACAAATTGGAAAACAGGTGTAAGCTCTCTCTCAGTCCTAGTTCAACCTCCTGGTTTGATCCCCATCTCCTCCAGGGTGCGTTCTTGAGCAAGACACTGAACAGTGTCATCAGTGTATGAATGTATGTTTGAATGTGACATACATTGTGAAGCGGTGACAGAATGAATGACAGACTGGACAAGTACAATATAAATACAGTTTGTTTATCTGTTTACTATTTGCACCTGCACCTCTGAGTTAATCCTTCTTTTCCCCAAGTATAGAGAGTTCTGCATGTTGTACAGATTGTAAAGCCCTCTAAGGCAAATGTGTGTGATTGAATGTACTTGACTTGATAGGAGTTGCACAGTTCAGCCACAATTTTAACCTGTGCTCCATTTGTTGACTGGATGAAATGATGGGTTCAGGTGAAGAGGAGAATGATTTTCGCCCACCATCAGCTCCCTGCCTATCTAGCGATTCAAACCAATGTCTTTTCTCATCACTCCTCCTCCGGTCTAACCTCTGCACTACCCCGATGATCTGGCAGAGCTCCGTGTGTCTGCCCAACAGTTGGCATGTTTGACCCATGTTAAGCAGTCAGCATCTGAAAGACTGATGCTCCTTCAAGCACACTATCATCAGCCACATCTAAACCCAGTTAAAGGCTTTGAAGCTTGAGCCAGGGGATTTCCCATGTTTTGATGATCTGACAGTCAGTACCCTCCTTCTCTGCACACCAACCAAACCTCCACACCCTCGCATCTCCTTTTCTCCAGGTCAGACAGATGTTGGTAATCCTGCTCTGATTGGCTTGGATTGAGTTATGTTGTCCTGTGGTCACGGTGCACAGCCCACATGGCTGAACTCTGTCAGTTCCCTTTGAGCCGTGCCCTGCGGTGGGGTGTGCGTTGGAATGGCGTAGCACAGGGTTATGTTTCATTCAACCCCACACCTGCTGCAGTGGCTTGTCAGCATGCCCCTCGACAGGCCCCTTTAATGCCTCCATTAGGTGTTGTAATCTCCCCCTAACGCCCTGCCATTTTGCCTGAGTGTGTTAACAGAGTATCAAAGGCTGGGGATTTTTTTTTAACCATCTGCCAGCGTTGAGTGTGTAGGAAGGTGAGAAGAGGTGAAGGTGGCAAGACTGCAGAGCTCTAGCTGGTTTTCAAGTAATTAGGGGTGTGTGTGTGTGTGTGTGTG